GGCAGAAGGTGGTGGTGGTGTGGCGCTGACCTCGGCCCTCCCCTCCATCCCCACTGTCATTCTTGACAGGCAGTTAGCTAGTTTTATTTATATACAGGCAGTCAGACTTACGATGCAGTTGGTTCCTGAAAAACAACACATCTTAAATTGAAATGTTGTAACTTGGAACTAGTTTTCTCATAGGAACAATATTATAAATGGGGAGTGGTTCCTTTACAATGCTTGATTCGGCTGTGTCCAGCTGGTAAGTGTGGTATGGTGGAAAGAGAGGGAGAAGGGAGGGGATCTGCAGATCAAGGTCCCCCGTGGTGAGGGAGGGGCAGGCTGGGGCTTAGGTTGGGACAAGTTGCTTGTCTGGCGGCTCCCACCGCTTGTCCAGGTGAGAATGGGAGCGGGGTTGGGACTGCATTGGACTGTGCTGGGAGTGGGGACTATGCTCTCCTGCCACTCACCTGGCTGGGGTGGGGTGAGCACAGGACGGGGCCACTGTGCGGCCTCCAGACAAGTGGTGTGCAGCAGCAAAAGCTGCCCCGCCGTCCCAGACAAACCGGGGCTCTGTTCTGTGCCCGCCCTGCCCCAGATCAGGGTGGGCAAGGCCGGAGCTGTGCCGGGCTGTGCTCCAGGCGTGCAGGCCCCCTATAGCCTCTGCTTGCCTTGCTCCAGTCTGGGGGCACATGCCCCCTATTCCCTGCTGCTGCTCGTCCAGCCAGGGCAGGGCTGGCGTGGGATGGAGCCATGGCTCACCTTGGGGGGCGGCTCCTGCGCAGCCCCCCATACCCTCCAGGATGAACAGCTGGAGCAGCCAGACAAGCAACTTGGCCCAGGCCCAACCCCTCCCTCACCCTGGGGGGCCTTGATCTGCCCCCCCCACACCTGTTCCCTTCCCCCTGCCCTTCTACCATACCAGACTTACCAGCTGGATGCATCTGCATCTCGTGTTCTAAAGTTGAAGTACACATTGGAAAGTTGAAACAGGGTGTCAGTTTATAAACGTCTTAAGTGCTGTTCATTGTAACTCAAAGTCATAAATTGAGGACTGCCTGTAACTTTAATATCTAGTAAAATTAAAAAATCCTATTCTCTCTATGCATAAAGACTTCATGTGTAGTGGTTAAGGGTGCCATGCATAATTAACCAGGCACACAAAAAAGGAAAAAGCCTTCTAACAATCATATTCTCTCCACTACTCAGGTACACACATTGTCACTGCCATATGTACCAGGCACCATAAAATAAGCATTTTTCCCAGGATGGGAAGCCCTGATCAAACATTCTCCTTCACATATATCTGGCTTCCTCTTGCTTCTTTCTGCAAGCAGCACTTTCTAAACTACTGGTTTCCCAAAAAATGTTAGTGATTTGTTTATAGAAAAATGTATTATAGGAATGTAGTAGGCAAAGATGTTTTTGGTGTGATATCTTTTATTGGACCAATTGCATAGGTGGCTGAGATATTAGAAAAGCTTTCAGGCACAAAGTAGCCTCCCTATCTGTAATGGAATGTAATAGAATTTACCCAATCTTTATTTTTGTGTATTATACAATGATTATTACACTGCTGGTACTGAGTAAATAATGAGATAATGGACAATCATATACTTAGAGCAGCTTCAAAAAGGGTGCTGCTTCCTGCAAAATAGCTGTTATGCTGTAGCGGTTACATATGCCTGAGCCTTTAACAGTATGGGTGAAACAGAATCATTCCAATTTTCACCCCAGTTCATTCAGGCTCAGGGTTGGGGAAACTTTGCTCACCTGTATTGCTACACTATCAAGTGCATGTAACACTTGCTATATGCTCCTGTACCCATAGACAGGGATTGTGTGGTCCCAGTTTAAATTAATAATTGTATACGTTTTACATTTCAAATATATCATGACTTACTTTCCATTGTTTGTCATTCGTGTCAGCGTGCACTATATGTTTTATATCGCTGTCTGAAACTGTTGACATAAATAACGACGTTGTTGCTAATGAAGTTAGGGAATAAAATGCAGCGGAGTCACTTGTGGAGTCACTTGTTTACTTACATAACAAACTTTAGAGAGACTGCTGACTCCAGTTCTTACAAAATTTTATCTGTCAAATGATTTTAATTATTGTAGACCTGAAAACAGTACTTATTGAAACTGGTACCATGCTTGAGCTTTCATGGAAGACTAGTGCATGTTGCCTACTGAACCTTTGTTCATTCCATTTTTGGAATACAAGGTGTCAAAATTTATCTAGTCCAGTTTTCAAAATGGAAGCCAAGTAAGTTGCATAACTTTCTCAAAGCTCATGGGGACACTTCAAGCATATAGGAAAATTGCCAGATCAGATTTCTGGTTATATTCTTGATACTATAACTGTGCAATTTACTAATTTCTTTTTCTTGCAGTATCTGGAATCCATGTTTACTCTGCTCTTTCAGCTACTTCAGGAAGTTACAGAATGTGACACAAAGATGCATGTTCTTCATGTTCTTTCTTGTGTGATTGAAAGAGTCAATATGCAGGTAATCATTATAGGCTAAAGGCAGAGCAGGGTCTCGCCTTAAAAACTAACTCTTTGGGAAGGCTTTCATAGGCTGGAGCCTGCTGTATAGTGTGTCTTTGTGTGTGCATGCGCACGTGGTGTGATATCTAAAATATATTGTGTGCATATTATATGTATTGTGAATTCTACTGAATTCTACACTATTCAGTTATGTGGGCTGTTCTGTTTCATACTGTAATATTTATACTTAATATGAAAACATTCATACAGATTCACAGAAGTTTAGGGCTGGAAGGGACCTCATGAGATCATCAGGTCCAGCTCCCTTGCTCTGGGCAGGAAAGACTGCTGGGGTCAAATAACCCCAACAAGGTGTGCATCCAGTGTCCTTTTGAGGATCCCCAGGGTAGATGCCTGCACCTCGCCCACTGGGAGTCTATTCCAGAGTCTGGTCACATGAACTGTGAATAAGTTTTTATTTATAGCCAGTCTGAAATCTTCAGTGGGAGATGTTCAATAGTGAGTTTCCGCAACCTATAGTTAAAGATCCAAACAAGGAAAACAAGAGCAGGGGTCTAACACAGATGCCAGAATTTGTAAATTAAGGGCCTGAGTCAAGACCTAAGGAAATTGAAAGGGAATTGTTCCATTGATTCCAGTGGACTCACTGAATCAGGCTCTGTGACTGAACAGCCTCACTGTTGACAACTTCTTTTGCATTTCTATTCTACTTCCCTTCCAAGGATAGAATGTTTTACAGACATTCATTAAGGTTCACAGAAGCAATAGGAAGTGGGAAAACATCATGCATTCATTCTTGTGAAACCTGAGAAATGGCAAGTTGTTTATTCTCTGTTACTCAGGAAGGCCATAGCAGATCGAGGATAAAAAATTCCCAGATTGCCTTGCTTCCTTGTCACTTATCAAAATATAAATATTGTTTATTTTGAATTTAGATTAGGATTTTAAACGATGTTTCATAATTTCTTTTGTGAATAAATTTATTCTGTTTAAACCAATACACATTCCTAAAGTATTTCAATTTCTTGGTAAGAAATGTGTTTTTTTTTTAGAAAAAGCAGGAGCAAGTTCAAAACAAAATTAAAGTTCTTATTGTATCTTTTATTCTGACTCAAGTAACTTTTGAGAGTTATTTACTTGATTTTTCCACAATTAAATATCTTACTCTGCTAAATAAATGTGCTATAATTTTGTTTTCTGGATTGTAGATTCGACCATATGTGGGATGTTTGGTTCAGTATTTACCTCTCCTTTGGAAACAGAGTGAAGAGCATAACATGCTTAGATGTGCCATTTTAACTACCCTAATTCATCTGGTTCAGGTAAGGTTTTCCTTTTTCTCATATATGCATATTCTTTGTAATATCTTTATGCTAGTAAAATTAAAATGCAGTTTGGCTGTAAAGAGCATTGTTTACATTTTAGTGCTTTATTGATAGCATTGTTTAAATTAAGTGCTTTATAATAGTCCATTAGAAATATGGTGCTATTTGGGTATAGCGGGGGTGTCAGCTCATCTGGCCCCGTGGGCTGGATGTGGGGCACAGGGCTGATCTGAGGGCTATATTGGGTCCACAGGCTTGCCCCCCACATTGGAGCCAGTGCATGGGGCTAATCTGGTGTGCGCACATTATGCAGTGCATGTCCTAGCCCTGGTCCAGGGCTTGCATGTGGAGCCAGCATGGGGTGTCTGTTGCATGAGGTGCCTGTGCTAGGCTGACCCTGCATGCGGGCTCTGGTGTGGGGGGTTGGTCTGTGGACTTGATCCAGACTGGCCCTAGAGCCAGCTCACAAGGCCAGTCTGCTGGGGTGCTGCATGCAGCTCATGCCTCAGATCATGCCCCTGGTCCAACCTTGCATGCTCTGTGCAGCATGAGCAGGTCCTTGTTTGGGGCTTGTGATGTGAGGGTCTGGCATGGGGCTAATGCTGAATGTGGTACCTGTGCCAGACCGGCTCTGTGCTGGTTCCAGCACACAAGGATGGTCTGTGAGCCTGCTCTGGACTGGCTCCAGAGCCAGCACAGAGGGCCGGTCTGGCACATGACTCGGTATATGCCTTAGACCAGCTCCCTGTGCCATGTACAGCATCTCTGTTACCAGGTCCATGCATCACATGCAGCACACACCAAATTCCCCCTCTTTTACTTGGCCCCTTTTCCCCCAGGGCTTTTTCTGGTGGTCTCTTGGCCAGGTGTTCCAGGGGTTCCACATATTCCCTGCTGGGCTCACTTGTGGCCCAACATAGCCAGTGTCTCCCAATGGTACACTTCAGGCATGTGGTGGGATTGTAGGGAGGTTTGGGCATTGTGGGCTGTCCCTCCAGGGTTCACCATTGTCGGGTGCCCTCAGGTCCTTGTCTGACTTTCTTGGGTGTCCTCAGGTCCCTGTCTGACCTTTTTTGTTCTGGGCTTTGTAATCTCACAGTCTGGCTGGTCCTGCTATTCCAGTCTGTACTGCCTGGTCACAGCAAGTGGGTCCAGTCCCAGACAGGCTATTGGAGCTCCACCCAGCATTCTTCAGGCAGTCTTCTGGCTGGGGCATGGGTGCCCCTTGGGTTTGGTCCATGCTGGGCTATGGCAGGCCTGGGCAGCTTCCCTTGGCTTCCCAGCTGGCAGAGGTGGCAGCAGGGTGCTTCCAGGAGCAGGGAAGCATGTCTGGTGCTGGCTCTGGTGCCCAGACACTTCCCTGACGGCTTCCAGCCTCCAGGCTCTGCGTCAGTTAAGGACAGACCCTCCGGCCACAGTGCGCTGGCTGTTCCAGTCATGGCCCGGCCCCCTGGGGCTGCAGCGCAGCCAAAGTAAGCCAGGTGGGGGCCTGTTGCAGGGGGTTTAAACCCCTTCCCTGGTCCACATGGGAACCTAGCCAGGTCTGCAGGGGCAGGAGCCCCTGGTAGGCTTTTGCTCCTTCTTCACTTGAGCAGAGACTGGGGTGGGGAGTGGCATGCCCTGGCCCTGGCTCTGGGCTGGCACTTTGGAGGAGTGGGGGAAGGTGGGTTTAAACCCCCTACCATGCCTGCATAGGACCCCAGCCAGGTCTGCCTAAGCAGGGGAGGGGACCGTGACATGGGCTGCCCTTCCCCCCCTACCCCTTGAACAGGGAGCAAGGGGCAGAAGTCTGGCAGGGGCTGCCTCCCCCCCACCCTCCAACTGCCCAGGCAGACCTGGCTGGAGTCCCATGCAGGCATGGTAGGGGGTTTAAACCCCCCTTCCCCCACTCCCCAAGCCTGCTGGCCCGGGGTGAGGGCATAGCTGCACCCCCCACTCTCCACTCAAGTGGGGAAGAGGCAAAAGCCTGTCAGAGGCTGCCCCCCCTGCATAACCAGCTGGGGTCCCATGCAGGCCAGGGAAGGGGTTTAAACCCCCTCCCTCCCTCCCTGCCTCAACATACAACCCCAGGCTAGGGTATGGCCATGCTCTCCACTCAGGAGAGGAGAGAGGGAGAAAACCCTGTTGGGGCTGCCCTTTCCCTCTGCTTGAGTGGGGGGCTGAAGCATGGCAGCCCCCCCCCCCCCCTAATGCAGACCCTGGTTGGGGTCTCATGTGGCTATTGAGGGGTTTTAAACCACCTTCCCCACCCTGCCTCAACCTGGTGACCCTAAGCTGGGATGGGCCACACCTCCACCCTCTGCTCGAGCAAGGAGCAAGGCAGGGGGAAAAGCCTGACTTGTGTTAACCCTTCCAGGCAGCCAGTGGCTGGGGTCTGGGGTGAGGGAGGGGGTTTAACCTCCCCTGACTCAGTGTGTAAGCCCTGGGCAGGGGTGTGGCCATCCCCCCCCCTGCCTGTTCTCCCCCCCTGGCAGGGGCTTGCTCCCCTGCCCCCCTCAGACCCAGGCTGGGGGTCTGGGTGAGGTGTGGCCACAGACCTTGATCTCCACTCAAGCCGGGGGATGGGGTGGCAAAAGCCTGACAGGGACTGCCCCCACCAGGCAGACCCCAGCTGGGGTCTTGTACGGGCCAGGGATGTGGTTAAACCCACCCTTGCCCCTCCTGCCTGGGCCAGGAGAAGGGAGGGGTGGGGGGATAAACCTGGCAGGGCTGCCCTCTCCTCATTGTCAGCCCTGGGCTGAAGTCTCGTGGGCTATGGTGCAGGGTTTAAAGCCTCCCTCCCCCTGGCCTCAGCCATGCTTCTGCCCCACTGAGCAGGGAGTGTCGAAAAGCCATGGAGCTTCTGTCTCTTCCCTTTATCAGTGGCTGGGAGGCGTGCTTTAGCACTCCCCAGCTTCTGGCCTGGGCCACTGCAGGCATGTGGCTGCATTTACGGACTCAAAAGTGAATGTCTGTTAGTTTGCTTCTTGGTTCAAGCTATACAGTTCAGACTAATCTGTAAAGACTGAATTCATTTAGCCTCTGACTTTTCGACTCTGTACTTAGCCTATTAAATTCTGTGTCTAGTCTCCCATGTATGTAAAGCTGGATCAGTTTTAGTGGGGAGCTAAAAGTCCTAAATTGTTGGCTGATATCGCATGTCCATCATTTAGTACATTTTAAAATATATGAGTTTATAATCCCCATGAGAAAATATGTGTTCCATTAATATTTTACCCTAAAGAATGTAGCAGTTGTGTGCAGTGGGCTTATAGTTTCATTTTTAGTGCTATTACCCCTGATTCACAGTTCTCTTGTTTCAATCCTTATTGCTATAATAGCTGTACAAATGAAATCCAACTGACCTCATTTCATTACTATTACTAAGTAGTTTTAGAGAATAAATATAATCTGAAGAGAGAATAACTTGAATTTCCTATTTCAGGGAAGATTTTTTGAAAGATATTTTACACTGTTTTGTTTACTTTCTGAAGGGGCTGGGAACAGACAGCAAGAATCTCTATCCTTTCTTACTTCCTGTTATTCAACTAAGTACGGATGTTTCTCAGCCTCCACATGTTTATCTTTTGGAAGATGGTTTAGAATTATGGTAAGTGGAAGAAATTAGCTGGTAGATTTTTTTTTTTCTGTCGCACTCTCTCTGCCCAAAAAAGAGTCATAATTTTTATCACTTGCTGAAAATTTTAGGAATAGCTTAAAAACTTATATATGTAATGCACATGCTAAACAAACTATGTGACAGGCCATATTTGGGAGCAAACAACCTATAGACTTGCAGCTTTGACCATTGAAGGAGATGGTGAAATTTTAAAGGGTGAAATACAGGGTAAATTATTTTCCAGAGCTCTAATCTGGCTGTTGAATAAATTAGGAAAATACCTTAAATTTCAGAGTTTACTGAGAGATCAACTTGCTTACGTATATAATATATTGATAAAATTCTAACAGAAGAATCTAGGGATTTCAGGCTGACTCAATTTGTCACATGTAAACCATGTTTACCTTGCATCTGTCTTGAAGTAATAAAGGATCCATTGGCAGAAATCACATGCTGACACACAATGGCAACCTGTTTAAAAAATACAAACAAACTGATATACATTTAACAAAAACAGGTTTTAAAATAGTTTTACAGGACTAACCCAGGGACATGAGAAGCTTGACTGTTTCTAACTGAATGTTACCAATGCCTTTTCTGTTTGCCAGTTTTCAGCTCTTTCTTGTTACAGTGATACTTGTGTCTAAGTTCTGAGAAGAAACCAGAAGTTTTAGCTGTTTAAGTGCATAGGGTTTTTTTTAAACATGCTTTATTTATGGTCATTTTAAACTTTTAAACTTTAAATGATTTTTTGACTACAGGGATTTTAATTTGGAACATGGAGTGCTGAATGTATTCAACTCCTCTCTCGTTGCCCCCTGTTCAGAATGTCATATCTAAAAACACTGTTGTTTTTACAGGAAAAGGAGGAAATAAGTTAAAATAGTTATAAGATATATAGAGGCCTAAAATGCTACGATTTTGTCATGATTAATTTAGTATGCACTTTTAATCCACCTTGACCATATTCTACTCCCTAATCCAGTAATTCCCAACTAGGGGGCTGGGGCATCTGGAGATGTCGTGAGATCCTTCTAAGGGTACAGTGTAACACAGTTAGCACTGCTAGTTGTGCAAATAACTACCCAAGTTTCATAAGATAAATCCAGATATTTCAAATAAGAATTTGTAGTGTCAAAACAATTCTGACCAGTCATATTTTTTCTGATTTTTTTGCAACATAGTTACTGTATTATTTTTCCCCCCATAGTCAAAAATGAATGAAACTATGAGCTGGCATTTTCTGATGGGTCCCTTGAGTCCAAAAAAAGTTGAGAACCACTGCCCTAATCTGTATCCTGGTGGACATTTTGAAAGATCGGAAGCTCTGAGCCATCAAACAGCCTTCTTTTCTTTTCTTTTCTTTTTTTTTCTTTTATAAAGAGTAAGGCACAAAAATGTTTTCTCTTTTTTCCATTCTTCTGTGGTAACAAGGACTGGACCACACTTTCTCCAGGGAAAGTCCCTGCTGTTTCAGGAGAACCCATGAGCGTACATAAAAGTCAGCAAATATTTCACAGATAAGTTTGGGAGCTATTGTGCCTGAAAGAGAACCATTTAAAGCAGTTATGGCATTCTTCATTTGGAGATTTCATGTGTTTCATGTGTTTATTTTAGAAAATTTGCATTATTTTTATAACTCTTGTTACTCTTAATATTTTTATTATTTAAAGACAAAAATCTAAGTAATCTCGTATTTAATATACTCTTAGGTTAGTGACACTGGAGAATAGCCCATGCCTTACTCCAGAACTACTGAGGATCTTTCAGAACATGTCTGCCCTTCTTGGTGAGCATTAATAATAAAGATTCACTTTTTTCAACTAACTGTTCCTTCATGTCCTGTCAATAATCTTGCTAAGGCAGTAAAAAGTTAAGAGAGAGAAATTCTTAGTATTCAAGGTCTACAAAGTTTTATAGATTTTTTTTAAAAATATGTTTTAAATTGGATCCCAATTGTGTGTTGAAATAAATGAGTTTTAAGTACTTTGTACTTGATAGATAAGGAAACAAATTGCAAGTTTTTTTTTTATTCGAGGACTGTTTGCATGCCTAAAACCCAAGTGTGAAATTGTAGACTATTAAATTCAATAGGAATTTTGTGATCGACTTTAATGGGACTGAGTTTTTACACAATATTTTTGCTGTTTAGAAACTTAACTTTGAGTTTCTCTGCAAAAAAAACAAACCAGGCCACCCCCCCCTTGTTCTTCAGTGTCTCATTTTTATTTGGGTCTGTTTTTATTGCATATGTTTCATGAAACATCTCCACTGTCTTAAGTCATGTATTTAGAGAATACATTAAATATACCCATGTGTATGCGTACCATATTAATGCTGTTTAAATTGTAGAATACACTGATGATATGTAGAAGCTGACTCCTTACTTGATAGAATTAATTCTTGTAGCTGCCAACTTACTTTTTCAAAAAAATCAGCTGTAATGGATATCACTCTGCTCCATATAAACTATACCTTTCTGATTTTTACAAAATTCCACCACAGTTCAGTACTAAAATAATTGTACTGGTTTTGCATAGAGGGAATATTTGAAAATTCTTTCTGCCAGCTGAAATTATAACCCTGTTTCCTACTCCTAATTTAACTTTCCATTCAAAATTATCAACAGGTAGCAAGTTTCCAATTACATTTAATGTGTGTATTTCACATATTTATGTTTAATATGCGTGTTTAATACATGTATTTCATCAGGCAGAAATTGAATTGGATGCAATAGGTTTTCATGACTGTCAATAAAATATTAAGTACTGATAATATGATTTTCAATTTTTAGGAAATGGATTTTCTATATTTTGTTTCCTAACTCTTTGGGGACTTCTCAAATATCGCAGTGTTTTTTTTTTTTTTGTCATGTAGATACCTTTCCTTTAATTTTTTGAGCACTTTTTTGTGCTTTAGGAGGCTGTTGGACTAATTGTTATAGCAAATGGATTTTTTCAGAGGAAAGTTTTTTAGTCTTAAAAGAATAACGAATTAGCATATCTTAATTATCTGTATTTCCTACATTAATTTCAGTGTTCCTGTTTTATTGCAACTCTAAAGGCTAATGAGAGCTGTTCCTTGTAGTAGTCAGCACGTTCAACATAGCCCCTGTCATGTAATCCTTCTTTGTGTGTCGGAACACTAATTGGCAAAATTGAGCTTCAGGGAAAAAGCCAACATTTTGTGGAATGTTCAGCTTTCAACTCCAGATTTACACATCACTTTCAGAAGCTTTTAGCTTCTTTTTATTAGTCTTCTATGCTGATCTAGCATCTGGGGAGGGCAGTAGACTAGGAAGGCCTGACTGCGTCAGGAGCACAGCTCCACAAATGGTTATAATTTATATAGCTGTCCTTTTCACTTGCTCTGAATTCTGAGATTGCCTGTATTTCTCTCAGGTTTTCCACCTGTGCTATATATAGGGTTTTAACCAGTGTGGATTATACCCGAGCATACTCTGCTAAAGTGGTATTGAAGTGTTAAGAAATCTTCAGTTTCATTTTAAGGCTTTATCATAAATGATACTGATGCTTTTCTTTGGAAAAATTGGATTTGGAATGAAAACTATCTTATTTATTTGATTGACTGGCTTAGTTTATGACATTAAGCAGAACTGCACTGATACTTTTTAATGCATTGCAAGTACTTGCATGTTTGTCAAGATTTTGTTTTGTTATCCTGTTAATCATTAAAGTGAAGGTTAGTATTTCAAGAGGACTAATTATTTTTATCCTGCAAACTGAAAATGAGTATATTATACTGATAATAACAAACAGTACGGTAGATAGATTCTTAAATCACACTTCTGTCAAAGATTGCCACAGATTTGGTCTGTAATATTTACTTAGTAAGATTTCTTTGCATTTTTAAAACTGGAACAGAAGAGACCTGTCTCATGGCAGTTCTGATAGGCTAATTTATTATTTTCAATTTTGTAATTTAGCTATCAGAAAAACAAACAGCATGTGCAAAAAAAATCTGATCATGGGATAGAAATTAATTCAGACTTGCTGCCCTGCAGCATTGCAAATGAAGAAACAAAAACAAATTGGAGGAGACAAGCTGCTGGACATAGTGAACAAAGGTGTGATCTGAAATTACAAAGAAGATTCATAAGCCTTCAGTCCTGGAGTTCCCTGAAACATTTTAGTTGATTTAGATCTGGGGTGCCAACCTACACCATGACTGCAACAAGTGGCTCAGGCAGCCTCTGTGTAGCACATGGTAGATCAGAGACAGGCAACACAGCAGCAGGTAGGGCAAGAAGCAGGAACAGAATTGCATATCAGGCAGGGAGCAGAAAACAAAGCAGATTGGTTAGGTGAAGAGGATTAGAGTGGCACTTGGGAAGGGTGGAGGACTAACTTGTGGCATGCCTGTCAAAAAGTGTGGCCTGTTCTGATTTAAACCATTTCTAGGACATTGGAACAATGGAGAAAGTGTCCATAAAAGAAAGACTTCCTTTATGTGCTTCGTGGATCCCACAAGGCCTTGGGTATTGATATTCAAAACTAAAATCTTTTCGACAGTATTTGCAACAACATTGCACGTAGAATTTGTGATGTCAGTAGGTTTGAGCAATACATATCTCAGTGGTGATATTTTCACTACTGTTATAGCCAAATACTCTAGTAATACAAAAATCTTGTCGTTATCATTTGATCTCTCTTTTTCCTGCCTTAAACTTTAATTGAAGGCAGAGATGTGGGGCAGAAAGTTTTCCAGTGCTTTATTTTTTCCGTGGGAAATTTTCCGTTTCTAAAAATTCAGTGTGTCACGAAGTTCATTAGTAACAATGAATGGATGCCAACACAATATTAGGCAAGTTTGGCAGTTTCAAAGTTGTAATTAATGTTTTTCAGGTGATTAATCCTAGGAAGTGTGTGAGGATGTACATATATGTTTTATTGATTTGTAAACAGGAGGGTAAATATACTCACATATTAATCCAAGCCAAAAATAAAGTTCTGAATTCACTTAATGGGCTGTGCAGGTCAAATCAAAACCGAAGCACAGCATGTAATGCACAGTTCTTTGGGTGTGCTAGAATTAGTGTGTCAACGGTTTTTAGTGTCTTCATTTTTTCCCTTAAATTGAAATAAACAATGTGAGAGCAGTACATGCTATTGTGCATTGTCTTTACATTTTTACAAATATTCCCATACAAATTATTTCTTTCTACATAAAGCTTTGAATTTGTTTGAATACAACATTTAAACCACATTAAGTGTGCTGTATTTAACTTTTTTCCTAATCAAATATTTCAGTTCAAATACTTGTGGCTATTGGGACATAAAATTAACATGGGGGTGCTTTTTTAGTTCTGTTTACTAAATATAAGTCAAATAAACATGCTAAATCAGATCATGCTCTATTTAGGGCATTGGAAAATTTTTCCAGAAAACCCATATCTCTGATTGACGGTGTTTGTGGCATGAACAAAAACTTTCTGGAGATTTTTATTTATATTATATTTAGACAAACTTTTCATGAGAAGTTCAAAATGAGGTTAAAGTTGGACACCGAGTCCATCGTAAGAGTTTCCTTCCCATCACCTGTTCTTGTAATAAACTCTTAAAAGCAGAGTAAATACTATTGCAGTTCCTCATTTATCTGTTGAAGCTTTAGGGACCATGAGCTCCACGTGAGCTCCAAAATCTGAGCATTTTTAAAAATAACTTCTAAAGACAGGCGGCTCCTCACCAGGTGCTGCTTATAATTGGATTTTGTCTGTGAAAACCGCATTAGAGTAGACCTGCTAAAACATATTTATAAAATGGTGACTCTGATGCACTAAGCAAAGTAGTGCCTTTCATAATTTAACTACAAAATGGATATTGAAGTGGTTTTAAATTTTGATTATTTTGAAAATTGTGTTCAGAGATATCACTAATACTAGATTTTTTTTTAAAATTGAAGACACAAATTCATAGGTGCTTATCTGTATGTCACCTTTTGCCTTGCCTACACCACCCACAGTAAATATTTATAACACATAGGAGAATTCTGTGTAGGGAGACGTAAATTATATTCATATTCATCCTGGGCTGGGAAAGAATGTGAAATCAGACCTCCGGCTCTATCCTTTGGGTAAGTCCATGGTATCTACCTTCCAGGACTGGAAGACCCTCCCACTGCCCTACAAGGTTATTGTTGAAGTTTGTACAAGTTCCAGCCTAAGTGATCAGGGAGTAATGTCAAACTCAATCAGTTGCACTCAGTGGAAGATCAAAATGCACAAGACAAGCATCCTTGGCAAAGAAATAGCCTTGCAGTTATTCTTGGGGCTCCAGTGCTGAACTCCTCTCTGGCTCCAGGATCCCGTCCTGTTTTCTTTCACATGGTATAAATTGAAATCTGGGCACTACCCACTCCTGCTGTTTGGCAGTGTAATTTTCTCTGACAGTCTCCATGCCTGTTACAGTGCGGAATGATTTTACTGTGCTCTCAGAACCAGTACTCTCGTACTTTGCCAGTCTGTCTAATGTTCTCTCTGCTTTTCAATTAATCATTCAGGCTGTAGCCAAATTATAGAGCTCAGGGCTCAAATTCCTATTCTAGGGCTCACTCTGAATATGGTCTAGTTGCTGTGGCAGAAGGCCACCTCTCTTTCTCCCCAAAAACTCTGCTCTGTGACAAATTGGTTAAGATGGGCCCTACAGAGGGTGCACACCTTACCTTATCTCTTTAGGTAACCTGAGTTGGATACAGTCCTGAGGGAGGGAGGGAAACTGCTCCCTCTGCGTACATGACTGCCATCACATACCTGGGTGAGGGGCTTGGACT